GATCTTTATCTGACTTAGAAGTAGTCTTCAAGTTGAATAAATTTTGAAAATAGTGTGGTATTACAGATTAGTATACATATTTAATCTTGTTATTTGCTATCAAAATGTTTGCTTAACACATAAATACAGTGTGTTTTTATGACTCTTCCAGTTGAATACTTCAGTAAAATGGGAACAATAATAATTTAAGTGTCCAAATCCTCTGTTACTGGAGGAGGAATCCACAGGGGAATGTATTTCCTATTGGAGCTCTTTTTATGGGGGAAAGGAATTTTGCAATATGTTAGGGCAGGATAGCAACACTACAAGCCAGGTGATACTCTTACTGGGAAAATTTAGATTTATCTTGGAAGCAATCCCTAACATTTTGATACAAAAGAGGTTTTGCTTCTATCAGACATCCTGGTAACGACACAGAAGAATTTTAATTCCTTTGGTTTTCCTTTGGCTCTCAGAAACTGACGTAATGATCCTAAGGATTTCTTTCAATACTTTGAAGTATAGGATAACAGATAATAATGTTAAAAGTTTTCCACTTTCATACCTCAGGGCCTAAAAATACTTTCATGAAGCTTCTAAGATTCTTTTTCTAAGAATGTCACTGTGACATATGTTTGTAGTTCAAGGAAATGTCATATAACAAACTTGAAGAAGGCTTCCACTATGGTCAATATAGGTTATATAGGACATATAATGAATGGCTAAAATCTCATTCTCAATAAGAAACCTATTGGAGATATTGTTCTGTAGCTTTTATACTTTCTTGGAAAAAGCATAGGTTTCTATTCATTAATGTTAAAACATTAAATTCAGATGAACCATGTCTCCAAATATGTCATACATACATTTAAAATATTGCTCTGACTCCTTCTTTCTTTCCTCAGCAAATAAATTATTTATAATTCTTTTCATAAGGAGATAATCAGCTAAAGAGCTTTCTTAAAGGTGGCAAAACTAAAAAGCAAATTAGTTTTATGATTTCAAAGAATTAGCTGACTATTCATTTATTAGAATGTTTTCAGACTACTTTAGAACTCTCAAAGGAAGAATAATGGTCCATAGAGTGCTATAAGGTTTCCTTTATGGACATAGTAAGCCATTTTATCTTGACAGACTCAATTGTTTCTTATTTCCTGCCACAGATATCCATCACAGAAATAGTAATTGTGATTATTAGCATTTTGTCCACTAACCAAAAGTATTTATAATGTATACCAAGAGGATAGTCTAAAATGGAGAATAACATTAAAGTTTTAAAAAGCTTTAACAACTGAAGAGTCAAAGTCTGTCCAAGAAAAGGGGCTATGAAGATATTCTGAGAGAGGTGGGAAATACATTTCTAGATTTTCTTTAATTTTAAGGGCAATGTGGATGAATAAACTCCCAGGAAATTTTATAGGAAATAGTTTTCCCCATTATAAGATGAAAATTGTGTCTGGAATTTATTTACCAATGTACGACATATAGAAGATTCTTTTCTCTTAAATAGATCATTGTAAATGTGCTATTGGTTAAAAACTTTACCTTCTCTAACCCCCATTTACTTTCTAACACCATTAAACATTATAGGATAGTAGTGTCAAAATGTAAAGGGAGTACTACAATCTTAGAAAAACAGTATTATCCAAAAAGAAATTGTCTCCATAACGAAAGGAATCACATTTCCTCCCATCATGTCCAGACCCATGAGCTAAAAGTAACATTGACAAAAGAGGAGCTGTGCTAACAGATTCAATTTTGAGATTATTCTTGCAAAAATTACCTACCTAGAAAAATTTTGCCAGATTAATCTATGTGGAAAAGCTAACCAAAACTGAAATATCATGGGACTGAGACTGTAGCTCAGTGGTAGAATACTGCTGCACATATATGAGGCCCTGGGTTTAATCCCCAGGACCAGACAAACGTATAAACAAACAAAAAAACAAACCCAAATTGAACTATCACTGTATAAAATATTCTTTCTTCCATTAATTAGTTCAATTATATATTCATTTATTCAATCAGTATTTTTTGAGTTTTAATAACCAGTAAGGGATTGAGTTAAGCAAATAAGATATAACTCTGTCCTTATGGAGGGCATTTGTTGATGACATTTATTGACCAGATGTTTATATACTTTATATCAGCTCTATGAAGTATATTTTATTTTATTGATTGATCTATTGATATGGGAATCGAACTCAGGACCTTATGCTTGTGAGGCAGGCGGTGGAACCACTGAGTTAAATCCCCGGCCCTATGAGGTATATTTTAAAAATCATTTTTTCCTTTAATATTTGAGGTAACTGAGCATCACAGGGTTTAACACATTGTTCAGCTTGGAAAGAAATCCATAAAACTGTGAGCCAAACTAAACCTTTCCTCTTTTTAAAAAATTAATTTTATTGATACATTTAAGGTGTACAATGTAATGACATTCATCATTGGAAATTTTCACCTTTACATAATCCATCTTGGTTCTTATTTTTTCCCCATCCCCCTGCCCTCCCTTCAACCCCTCTACCCCTTTCTATTTACAAAGATTTTGTTTCCATTTTTCCACTTCTCATGTTAATTCCATTCCCATCTTTCTTTTCCCCTACCTCTCCCACTTCCTCTTTCCCTTTGCACCTTTTCTTCCTATTTCACATTATCTGTTATACCTTTTAGATCTTATTTACACTTTCAACTTCTCACCTTCCTCTTTTTAAGCTTATTATTTTGGGTATTTTGTTACAGATAGGAAAGCTAACAGCAGTATTTAAGTACTTTTTTTCCCCTATATACTCAGAAGTCATAGTTTAGTTAATATTCTGTCTCTTTCCTGCTGGATTATTATGATTTTGTTAGGCCTCTTACCTTCTATCTTAGCAAACAGAATCATCTTCTGCATTGCCCTGCAGGACTCCTTGGCTTAATGTACAATTTGGCAGATAGTGTACATATAGATATAGCAAAAATATAGTTTACCTATTCATCACTTCAGTACTATCTATGGGAAAGAGTAAACAGTGCATGAATTTTGGCCTAAGTGGTAGAGAACCAAGTATACTGTATGTGTGTGTGTGTGTGTGTGTGTGTGTGTGTGCGTGCATGCATGTGTGTGTGTGTGTGTGTGTGTGTAGGGAGGCATATGGGAAGAGAGAGATTGGTAGAATAGTCTGGTTATGATCATGTGAAAAGAAACTCAAACATACTGAGCAACTCCTCTTGATCCCATGAAAATGAGGGAAAAATGAAGATAGAAGAGCAGGATAATCATATTTGGAGGTTAGAAAATAAATAGCATATGCTGGAAGATTGCTTTACATGTTCTGTGCCTGACAAGCTCTATAGCCTTCAGAACTCATTGCCTTTGGGACAGTTTCTTGATTCTTTTAAGCTTGATTTTGATGTCATTTAGCAAGTTCTCATAGTATTATATGCATACATCTGATGTAATAGTATATTTTAATTGTTAACTTTAATTAACTCTCCCCTCCACTATATTGTATACTCCTTGATGTCGGGGCCACATCTTATCTTTAAATTCCAGATTGTAAGGCCGGGGATTTAGCTCAGTGGTTCCATCACCTGCCTGGCAAGTGCAAGGACCCAAGTTCAATCCCTGGTACCCCCCCCAACTCCAGATTTTAGTACTTGCACACAGCAGTCTCTTAATAATATCTGTGGTATTAACTGAGTGGTTAATAAGTTAATAGAAGGATCTAAGATGAGGCTTCTAAAAATATTAATATTATAGTCTGTCAGTATCACATCCACTTGTAACTTATATCATCTTAATTCTATACAAAAGCCGATAAAATGATGAATAGTTTGTCTTTAACCTTTTATTTCTAATCCCATCCTATAATAAAATACAATAAAAATTAAATTCTTAAAGCACCAAAGAAGTTGACTTTTAATAATTTTTAATTCACTGAAAATTAGGTTTTCAAAAATCCATATGTAGTCCTAAATATAGCTGAGCTTGGTGGTACATAACTACTCAGGAGGCTGAGGCAGGAGGATCACAAGTTCATCTTACAGAGATTTTATCTTAATTAAAATAAAAGAGTAAAAAGTGATGGTGATAGAGGACCTCTGTGATAGAGCAGTATTAGAGCATCTCTGGGTTCACTCTTCAGTACCATAAGAGAAAAAGTACCAGTACCAGTATCAGAATTGGAAAAGAAAAGAAAAAAGTCTTTGTATAAATACTCAGTGCATAATATCCTAAAAAGAGAAGAAAGTGCTATTTTTATTCACCCAGTTCATTTGAAGGTCTCACTAGTAATCCACAAAGTGAATTATTATGATCAGCAAACTTAAATCCACTGTTTTGTAATTTATGTAGAATTCCCGATTCATCCTTCAAGTTTGCCAATGTACCCAGTGATTAAAGATGCTAGGCCAAAACAAATCTTCTATATTTGCTTGTATAGTACAGGAACAATTACAGGAATAGAATTTAATCTATAAACCAAATGAAATGTTGCTATAAATCACTGTATTAATTCCTGAGGTAAAGGCCGTGCCTATAACATGGAATGCAAACAATGGATACTAACAAAAAGAACAATGTGCTCAGTTGACCTGACTACACTAATAGAACTACTTTAGTCAAAACAGGCCTGGATAAAAGACTCATCCCAATCATTTGAATTTAGCTAATTAAAACAAATCAATTCTATTTGATTTTTCCTGTTCTTGTAATATTTTTGTTCTTAGACCAGCATATATAGTTGGGGCATTATGGAAAAGTGTGAATCTTTTTCCATTTCTCTTTGATTCTGATACTTCTATACATTCTTGGCCTTTTGCATAGACTAGGACTAGCCATACTTGAATAGAATTTTTAAATTTTTAATTACAATGATAATAAAACCTTTTGTGAGCTAATGCAGTAAAAGTAGCATATTTTCATATACGTAAGTTAAAAAGAATATCCTTCACACCCATAAATTACTAATTCTTAATTAATTTAGTATTATTTGGAAATTTAATGAAAAACCAGATGACATGAAATATTGACCTACCTTTTGGAGATACTTTACTTTCTCCTCAGATTCCTGAATCTTTAGAGCCTCAGCAATGACATCTGCATTCTCTAGAGGAAGTAAAGTGAAACTCAGTCTAGAATAATTTTAGCATGATTTTGTAATATAAAATGGATATAAATATAATTTAAATATAATAATTACATTATAAATATAATTTTGATATAAAATTGGGTTGGGATTAAAAGCATGGGAAGGTACAAACACATACTGTGTCATGAAAGCTTATAACCAGATTAATAAATAATTAAAAACTGAATTAATTAGCAATAGCTGCAGGGACTCTCTAATCTCTTTAGATGATGAATAAGCCTCAGCAGAGACAAGAAAATGCCTCTAAAGAGAACATAAATATAGAATCAGAGATTCTAAATTTTATATTTGTATTCAACCTGTTACAGAAATTTAGGGGTTGTTCTATGGATAACCTAGTGTGGTCCCTGAGGCAAGGTCTTCTACATGCAATTCAGAATGTTATACCAAAATGTAAAGTTGTACCTTTGTGTTAATCACCTACTTTCTGAAAAACCTAGCAATCCAACTGTTGTAGGTTACTAAATTTGATACTTACTGTTATTCTCAAAAGGAGAAGGCTGGAGGTGACTTTTCTCTTAAGAGTACAAAGGAGAAGTAAAGAAAAGACATAACACTAATGCTATTTGAAATTTTTATACTTATATTACATAACTATTTTCACATCCTAGGCCTCACAGTATGGGCTTAGCAGTCAATGAACTTGGTACCTAAAGTTGATTTGCCTTCAACTTTCTCTAGGGTGTTCAGGTTTTAACTCGATTATGTAAACTATTGTCCTTAATGTCCAACATATACAATTTTTCTTAGATTATTTGTTTGCCAAATAAATGTCATAATTTAAGGGACACTGAAAGATGTAATACTGCTAATCTGCTTTTTTTGGGGGGATTGCTGCAAAACTTCAGGAACTATTTATACAGTATCTGTATTTGCATTAGCAGTTACTTTTTATTTATTTATTTTTTGGTACCAGGGATCAAACTCGGGTCCTTGGGCTTGCGAGGCAGGCCCTCGGTATTACTCAATGTATGTATACTTTTCAGACATTTGAATCTTATTTTAGATTTATGTTGGGCAGTTTCTTCTGGAAGGAGATCTAGTATCTTTCAGGTTATTATGATGCAATAAAAATTAACCACCAGGAGGTAGCTACTTTTTACTCACTTGAGACAACACTCTTAGAGTTCCCTGCAACAGGCAAACGCTGACTGCTCCCTCTTGTCAGCACCAACTGAGATTCGTTAGTGGGGTACATGGATGCCCTGAGCCAGAACTGCTTAGCTAAGTTGGCATCCTGTTCCGAGCAGCCAGCGAACACCAGTAATCCTGGATGACAAATTTCGTGGTACTCTGTTCTGCAGCTGAGATCTGAGCAGGGCCCCGTTTCCATGGCAACTCAGGACGCTTCTCCAAACTCCTGCGCCACTCCTTCCAGCCCCGAAGCTCCAAGAAGCTAGAAGCAGCGGGAGGGTAACAGCCGCCTCCGAAGGCCCTTAGTTTCTTCTGTAGGTGTTGGGGTTCCCCGCATGCTGAAGCTTACTTCTGCGGTGCTAGCAAGACTAATGCTTGCTTGGCAACCTTGTAGTCAGGGGCGAGTCCAAACAACTTTTGGCTCGTCCTGTCAGTCAGTGGGGGAGCACTTTAGTCTCTTTTCAGGTTTTCACTTGCTCCGGGCTCCTACCAAAAGATATTTAAATAAACTTTAAATTTCTTGGCTCCATTGCCCCAGTTTCCTCTTTCAGACAAGTTTGTGGCTGAGCCCCCACCACTGTGAACATTGTGAGGCCTGTAATCAGAGAATTAAAGGAAGCCCAAAGGAGGTAAAGGCAGGAACTGGTCCTATAGTTATTCATGTATATAGTTTGATCCTTTCTCCCTTTAATCTTTTATGATAAATCTTAGAACTGGATTTAAATTGTAACTGCATTTATTAATCATTTCTGCCAAAACTTGCCTACAGTGCAGAAGTTTTAAATGATTACTTAAAATGATATATATACATATATATATATACGTATATATATGAGTAGATGGAATTCCTTCATGAAAAATTTTGTTAGTGTATCCTTATAAAAGCATTAACAAGTGTGCGTGAATTGTTTTCCTGGAAGATTTCTTTAATCTAGGTACAATTTAACCATTTCAGAGATGAAAAAGATTTGTTTACTGTGGCAGGAACTAAGAGGGCCATCATGAAGCCAATTGAAAGGAACTGGACACATGGTAATAACCACAATTTATGTCTATCTGGCACTTTATTTTTTCAAAATATCACAAACAATACAGTTTCACGGAAAGATAGTTCAAAGATTGACAACCAAAAGTCTTTATTATAGATCAGTCAGCTAAGGAAAAAAAAAGTATAATCTCCTAATATAGCTAAAAGTTATTTTTGGTTAAGACCCTGAAGGAATATTGAAAAAGAAATACACATACATGTTTAGTACATACATTGTATATTTAGCCGCTAAATGCTGGTTTTTCTAGTGGCTGAACAAGTGATAAACAGGCAAAGGATAGTATCAGCATATTCCAATAGCCCTCTCCCCCACATTGACATGATAGTGTAAGCGGCCCATTTGGATGAATGTTAGCCTTTTTACCTGGCTGTGTGGTTAGTGATTGGTACTATTAGCAATCAGCTAACTACACTGCCTAGTAACTAGACTAAAAAATAAACTGCAGTCCCAAGCTGGTGCCTCTATACGTGGTGATGGGCAAATCATTGGCTAAGTAGCTGTCTTGGTGACTACCCTACTAACTAGTAAGAAATAAGCCTAAGTCACCGCATACAGCGGCAGCTGTTGCGCGGCTTTTCGCTTCGCTTTCCTTTCGAGGCTCCCAGTAGAGAGCTCAGGACTCAGCGTCTGCAGCCGGCAGGCGGCCGTTTTCCTGGGTTTACTCTCACTCCGACAACGTGCTCGCGGACAAACGCTGACGCAGCACAGCTCCTCTCGCAGCCTTCTTCGGACTCCGCAGGGCGGAGACGATGCTGTGCCTTGTTTTGATGGCAGTGGAGTTAGTGATTGTAAGCACTACAGCACAATCAGCTAATTACACTGCCTACAAACCGAGCACCGGCGCCCCCCGCTGCAGCTCCCGGACTTCTGCAGTCAAGGTGGTGTCCTCGAGCAGGCGGGCCCCCCATGCGCCCCATTTCTCCGGGTGGACGCCCGGTAGTGGCGGGGCGCGAGGCCCAGGCTGAAGGTCTCCGGAGGACGCCTTCGGGCTCCCCGTCACCCTGCCGGGTCGTGCC